TAGGATAACAGTTAAAATGTTGAGTCTTGTGAATATTTATTTAAATGGACTGAATAGCTGAGTATTTGTAGAGGGGGGAAATGCAAGAGTACCACAGGTCTAATATTCTTAAAGTTCTTTGAGAGACCTTAATTGTTTTTTCAAATTAAGTGTAGCTTTATTTAATTTGTATCTATTTGCTCTGCCATAGGTACAAACAGAGATGATAAGATTCCCTGTTATCCTTTGGTGCATAACAAACCACTCCAGAACTCAGTGGTTTAGAACAAGGATACTTATTATTTTACGTTATTCAATAAGTTGACAGTTTCTGCTCTTCATGGCCTGTCAGCCTTATGTAAACTAGACTGGGCTTATTCTGAAGACAGAGAAAATGTTCTAAGAGGTCAAGCTTCAATGTGCAAGAGTTTATCAAGCTTGCACTTCCATCTTATTTGCTAATGTTCCATTGGCCTAGTCTAGGGTCAGTGTGAGAGGGGACTACACAAGGCTATACACAACAGAAGATACTATTCATTGGTAGTCATTAATTAACAATCTACCACACAAGGACAAATTACAATTTTCCTTGTAGTTCTCTTTATTTTTCTAACAGCCTAAACAAAATAATCCTGCTTGTACATTAAGATGTTTTTTGCTATTAATTTAGTTTTTCATACTTATATTATTTCCTCAGTTTTCTTTTAATTTGCATTTACCTGGAAATTTTTTTAGTTTTATGCCATTTTGTGGTGTTTGTCTTATATAAACCCCAAGTTGGATTTTATATTTTAATAAGAAAGTTAGGACCTTAATTTAGGAGGCAGAAAATGAAGACGAGATATAAGACAGAAAATATTTGTTCCGAATGTATGTTTTGCCTGTCTGGACAAGTATTTGTCTGAATTAAATTTTAACAAAAGAAGGAAAAACAGGTTTGAGAGAAGAGGAGGAAAAAGATGGAGATTACATACATGTTCTGAACCCTTGGTCAGAATGCAGTTTTCTAGAGAGAAGTATTAAGATGCTAGATAAAAAGTTGGGAAAAGTTCTGAGAACTGATAGTGACATCTGGAGTCCTAACAGTACTCTGAAAGACATAGACTAGATAGCAACCACCATAAGGTCATGAAAATACCAAAAAGAAAGAAGTATGGTTGAACCAAAAACAAAAAACGTGATATTTCCAGAACTTTTAGTGTCACTGTAAAATTTGATAAAATACCATTTAGATGGTGAATTATTAAAAGTCTTTATTATATGAAGGTAAATCTAAATTTTCTCTAAAAATTTCCCTGAAGATAATAAATACTCTCCTAGGGAATATAAGAAAAATATATATTAACTTGGTGCTTAATTAACCATATGACTACGTATATATATATGCACATTTTCAGTTATTAATCAATATTCTTTCCTTTGTGCATGTGATTTTTAACATGATTAGTGTTGAATTGAAAACGATCAGGAGGGGCCGGCCCGGTGGCGCACTGCTACAGTGCGCCGCTTGGGAAGCGCGGCGGCGCTCCCACTGAGGGTTCGGATCCCACATACAGACCGGCCGCTCACTGGCTGAGCAAGGTGCGGGAGCAACACCGAGGGTTGCGATCCCGTTGCCGGTCCCGGTCCAGTACGGGCGCGACACTGAGGGTTGCGATCCGTTGCCGGTCACGAAAAAAGACAAAAAGGGAAAAAAAAAAAAAAAAAAAGAAAACGATCAGGATAATCCTAAATACTGTTGCATGTTGACCTATGTTAAGAGAATAGTAGGTCTAGAGCAGTGATTTCAAAGTATATATTTTTTGATATGCTTCAGGGACTTCATAAGTCAATTCTTACAAAAGGAAGTAAAGATGGCTAGTAAAGCTACAGTAATCAAGATAATGTGGTATTGGCATCCAGATAAAGAAATAGATACATAGAATAGAATAGAGAGTTCAGATATAAACTCAGACATATGGACATATATGAGCAATTCATTTTAAGATAAAAATGCAAAGATAATTCAATAGAGGAAGGATAATCCTCTCAACAAGTGCTGGAACAATTGGGTATCTATCTTTACCTTTATAATAGTCTGAATAATGGCCACCCAGAGATACCATGTCCTAATCCCTGGAACCTGTAAATATTACCTTATAAAGAAAATGGTCTTTGCAGAAGTGATTAAAATAAGGATTTTTACCTGTAGAGATTGCCCTGGATTATCTGGGTGGACCCTAAATCCAGTTACAGTGTCCTTATAAGAGAGAGGCAGAGGGAGATTATAACACACAGAGGAGAAGCACCTGTGAAGGTGGAGGCAGAAATTGGAGTGATAATGACCACAAGCCAAGGAATGCCAGTATATTCTGACACCCACCAGTAGCTAGAAAAGGCAAGGAAGAGATTCTCCCCCAGAGCATCCAGAGGCAGTATGGCCTTGCTGATACCTTGATTTTGGTCTTCTGACCTCGGAACTGTGAGAGAATGCATTACCACCACATTTGTGGTAATTTTCTATAGCAGCCATAGGGAACTAACACAATCTTATACCAAAATTCACTTTAAATGGATCATAGACCTAAATGTAAAACCTGCAACTGTGAAGTTTCTAGCCTGTAACATGAAGGAAAATCTTTGAAATCCTGGGTTAGGCAAAGATTTTTTCATGGGACACCAAAAGCATGATTCATTAAAGAGAAAATTCATAAACTTCATCAAAATTAAGAAATTGTGTTTTTGGAAAGACAGTGTTAGAAGAATGAAAAGACAAGCCACACACTGGGAGAAAACATTCGCAAATCACCTGTCTGATAAAAGACTAGTATTCAGAATACATAAAGAACCCTTAGAACTTAATAATAAAAAAAATCACATTATCTTAATGGGCTAAAATATTGAACAGACATCAGAAACAGTATGTTGATGGCAAGTAAGTACATGAAAAGATATTCAACATTATTAGTCACTAGGAAATTGCAAATTGAAAGCACAATGAGATATCACTTCATATCAATTGAAATGCATTAAATTTAAGACAGACCAGACCGAATGTTGGCAAAGATGTAGAATAACTGAAACTCTCATACCCTGCTGTTTGGAATGTAAAATGATAAAAACCAATTTTGAAAACAGTTTGGCAGTTTTCTAAAATGTTAAACATGCATCTATCACATGACCCAGCCATTACTTATTCATTCTTTTACCCAAGAGAAGTGAAAGTATATGTTTATCCAAAGATTTGAACATAGCAGAATTTGTAATAGGCACATCTCAGAACATCTCAAATATCCATCAGCCAGTGAATGGATAAATACATTGTGATATATCCATGCAGTAGACTATTACTCAACAGTAAAATGTAATAATTGATACACTCAACATGGATGAATCACAATTATGCTGAGTGAAAGAAGCCAAAATATGTACTGTATGGTTCATATAAAATCCTAAAAAGTGCAAACAAATCTGTATGGATAGAAAACAGATCAGTTGTTGGCTGTGTGGGAGGGTTTGATGGGAGATGTTAAAGCGGCACAAGGAAACATTTTGGACTAATGGATATGTTCATCCTCAATTGTGATAGTTCGTGAGTGTATACATAAATTAAACTTTATTAAAAAGTATACCTTAAACATGCAGTTATTGTATGTCGATTCCTCAATAATGCTGTTAAAATTTGTTTTAAAAGCTTAGGTACTGAATTTTATCAAAATTATCTCCTATTGATGTAATCATATGGTTTTCACTATTTTTCTGTTTACATTAAATTTCTTGTGTTCCAATAGCATTTTAATGCTTATTTCCTATATTCTGGGCTTCAGCATCCATTCCCCTTTAATTTGGAAGCTCTACCATAATTTCTAAGTTCATATATTTGTATGCTACTGGCTCCATCCTCTGCCTCATGTATGGAGAGCATTACTTAAGATTAAGCCAATCAGTACTTTGCAAATGCAAAAATCCCTGGTCATGGTGATTACTTTGTAAATGGACACTTGATTTATCTAGAACTAGTGATTCACAATGAACATTTGCTGTGATTTCTGGGACAAAGGCTTGCCACTCTATGTGAGAATGAAGATATAAACAAGACCATTTTTGTTACTATGTAAGGTGAGAACTTTGAAGATATGGAGCAACACAGGGAGCTAAGAGGATGTGAGAGGAAAACTGGATTTTGATTACATTTAGTCCTACCCAGCATTGCTTGAAACCAGATCTGTTCTCGGACTTTTTCATAATATTCTTGGACTTTTCCTTAATGTTGAGTCATTAAGTCGTTAAGTTTTGCCTATGTCAATTTAGGTCAAATTTTCTGATACTTGTACTCAGAAGAAGCTGATTACATGGTGAAAA